CCTCATCAAGATCTTGTAATTGGATGACATATGGCAATCCAGGTAATAAACTAACATGTGGCCTCATGTATAACATTTGTAAAACACACTTAACATTCAAGCTTTAAAGCTCAAAACATTTCATTATATTTGAAGAAACATACACAATTTTAAGTTCAGCCCATTCTAAAGTTGATCTCTCAGAATCGTACACACATATATATCGGAGTTTAACTTGTAGCTCGTATTGGATTCGCCCATTCCAAAGTCTGCTATTCCGCACTTGTTGAGCTTGGCACAACTATAAACCAAACGGGATTACCTGCAAAGCAACTTAATGGTAGCACCGTGAGTATATTTCGTACTCGCAGGACTTAATTCCAACATATAAATATTTGGTGGATGCAAAGGGTATTATCAGGCATTTGTACATTTGCGGAAAAAGCATGGGTTTGTTAAAGAATGCAATGCTCATGATTCATCGTTAAATTAATAGAGCAATTACAAGTACATAGCATGTGGTAAAGGAATACGTAGTTAAAGTGATCAACATTATAATCCATCTCATGTTTATGTGTCATAACCATCAACACTACAAAGGGTCTAGAAGTAAGAACAACCAAAATGGTTCTGTCCCGAGGGAGTTCAGGCTTTCAAACTCTGCAGAGGTGTACAACTGTGCCCACACGGAGAACGGGACTAACCACCGTACTTGTGCCCAGGTAAGAGTTGGCTCATATCTCCAACCTTTTCCTAATTCAGCTAACAATGTCCATGGAAGGTTATATTGAAAGGGGATCAAAAGCACGCCAAAATGAAATCAAATCAAAATATCAAATAGTAACAAAAAAAAAACAGCTAACCAGGTGCGTGCACGCAGTATTCAGTATACACGAATACACCCTTTCCCGTACCGGATCCCCGCATTTGCAGGAGAAGGAAGCAGATGAGGAGCAAAGGTGTGCCCTCTTTCAACCCCCTTTCCTCCTTCCTGCCTCACGCTAATCCTCCTGGTTTTCACTTCATTCATGTGACATGTCCAGCATCGCAGCAACGGTGTTTCTTGATCCTTCTGTCTGAGAAGCGAGTACTCACCTCGTATTGCTTCCCTCCACATTCTACACACTTACATACAAATTATCGAAGCAAGCCTCCGGCTGGAAATCGTTCCCCACCAACCGAACGAAGTAAGTATGTTGATAGCGTGTTTGAGAGAATGTAATTAATGAACCGTCTTTTTTTATTTGATTGATCCTAATGTAATTAATAGAACATGATACAAAGTGAACGAACGGGATTGGCATCCGTTCGGAAGTCAGGCCATGTTTAGTTCGAAAAACTTTTCGCGAAAAACTACAGTAACGAATCTTGCGGCACATACATGGAGTATTAAATATAGATGAAATAAAAAACTAATTGCACAGTTTGCGTATACATTACGAGACGAACGTTCTGAGCCTAATTAGTCATGATTTGACACTAAAGTGCTACAGTACAGATGTGTTAATGCTGGCTTAATTAGGCTTAATAAATTCGTCTCGCAGTTTCCAGACGAGTTATGTAATTAGTTTTTTAATTAGTATCCGAAAACCCCTTCCGACGTACCATAAAACATCCGATGTGATCTATAGTAGGATTAGATCTATGGTTAAAATCGAATGCTTTGGGTTAGATCCGTGGTATTGATTCATGTGGATGATATCGCCGTCCTCCCGTATACAGGATTAGCCAAATTGCAGCAGATCGACGGAAATCCTTAAGGTTAGCAGACATTCCGTTTCGTTTTCAGGGACGACAATATATAATAGTTTGCAAACATCATTAGCCAAATTGCAAAGCCAAATTACTTCACCTTAGTACAGGACCAGAGATAGATATCACAGTACTTATCGTTACAACTAAGGTTGGATAACGAGCTGGCTCGGCTTGAGCCGAGCCGAGTCGAGCCAGCCACGAGCCGAGCGAGCTAACGAGCTTCGAGTTTTTCGTCCAGCCTTAGTTACAACTAGCACAGAAGAGTTAAGCCATACATCATGGCTCACGGATTAAGTAAACAGGTTTATTCCAGGTTTTCAGTCAAGCACACAAGAGCATTGGTCCAACCGTGCGTACAAAGGACATTTTCATCCACTCAACTGGTTATTTCAATCAGTCACCGGTCTCTCCCGGTGGTTCATTTCAGTGATATCGTTACTCGAGAACAACTTGTTTCTCACTGGTTAGAATTGAAAATTAGTCAGTTTTCAGTATCTTCAGGTTCAGGCAGGCCTAACACCCTCCACCTGGTGCAGTGCACAAGCCCGGCAGCTCATACTGTCCTTGAAAATACTGATCGAGATCACCTATGAAGACTGCTTCTGAAAAGTAGGGACGAAAACGGATCGGATACGAACGGATATCACTCATATTATATTTGTTTTCATATTTATGTTCGGATTCAGATTCGGACACGGATAGCGTTCGGATACATATACGAATACGGATTGACTCGGTTACGGATACGAATAATAAGTATCGAATACGGTATGAATCGGATTCGGAGAAGGTCGGATACAAATATCTATTCGGATATTGAGTAAAAGCAGCATATATATATATATATATATATCATACGTGCGCAAACCATTACACCACTCTATGAATCCATAATCCATCTAGATTAAACCGAAAGACTAAAGAGTAAAGCAACAAATAAGATAAAGATACAGATACATCATACATCATACATCAAACATCATATAAGCACCAATCTTCGCGGCATGAGTAGAAATAGCCAAACACATTGCTTCATGGGTCTCATGGAGTCATGGTCATGGATTCAAGATCTACAATCCTTATATAGGCCATTTTTTTCATTTTGAGAAAGTTTGAACAAAATGTAGTTCAAATTTCACAAGTGTGTGACATAGTTTTAGAAAGTCTGTATGAGATTTAAGAATTTGTGACTAGTGTTTGATAAAACTTTTTCAAATGGGAAAATAAGCTATGTAACAATTGTATATCTTGCTGAGATGATCAAACTTGGTATTCAGAGTTTTTTCATCTGAGGTCATTTAGTGTCTCATTTGAGCAAGTTTGACCAAGTCAAATTTGGTCAAATGAAAAAACAACACTTTGACTCTAGTATTATGAACTCTAAATGACTTCAAATTGAAAAGTTTTGAATACCAAGTTTGTTCAACTCATTAAGATTTACAATTCTTATTTTGGTCAACTTTCCATTTGAGATAGTTTGGACGGTTCAAATTTGTGATTTTTAAATTTCGATGCTTACAAACTAGTTTTCGGAACCCTAGATTATCTCAAATTGAAAAGTTTTGAATACCAAGTTTGTTCAGCTCATCAAGATCTACAATCCTTATATAGGCTATTTTTTCATTTGAGAAAGTTTGAACAAAATGTAGTTCAAATTTCACAAGTGTGTGACATAGTTTCAGAAGTCTATATGAGATTCAAGAATTTGTGACTAGTGTTTAATAAAACTTTCTCAAATGGAAAAATAAGCTATGTAACAATTGTATATCTTGCTGAGATGATCAAACTTGGTATTCAGAGTTTTTTCATCTGAGGTCATTTAGTGTCTCATTTGAGCAAGTTTGACCAAGTCAAATTTGGTCAAATGAAAAAACAACACTTTGACTCTAGTATTATGAACTCTAAATGACTTCAAATTGAAAAGTTTTGAATACCAAGTTTGTTCAACTCATCAAGATCTACAATTTTTGTTTTGGTCAACTTTCCATTTGAGATAGTTTGAACGGTTCAAATTTGTGATTTTTAAATTTCGACGTTTACAAACTAGTTTTCGAAACCCTAGATTGTCTCAAATTGAAAAGTTTTGAATACCAAATTTGTTCATCTCATCAAGATATACAATCCTTATATAGGCCATTTTTTCGTTTGAGAAAGTTTGAACAAAATATAATTCAAATTTCACAAGTGTGTGACATAGTTTTAGAAAGTCTATATGAGATTCAAGAATTTATGACTAGTGTTTGATAAAACTTTCTCAAATGGAAAAATAAGCTATGTAACAATTGTAGATCTTGCTGAGATGATCAAACTTGGTATTCAGAGTTTTTTCATCTGAGGTCATTTAGTGTCTCATTTGAGCAAGTTTGACCAAATCAAATTTGGTCAAATGAAAAAACAACACTTTGACTTTAGTATTATGAACTCTAAATGACTTCAAATTAAAAAGTTTTGAATATCAAGTTTGTTCAACTCATCAAGATCTACAATTGTTGTTTTGGTCAACTTTCCATTTGAGATAGTTTGGATGGTTTAAATTTGTGATTTTTAAATTTTGAATAAATATCCAGATAATATCCGTTTTTAAATATTCGGATATATCCAATACTTATCCGGATTATCCGATATCCGTCGGATATCGATGATATTACATCCGTATTTGATATCCGCCTAAGATATCCGTTTTAGTATCCGTATCCGAAAAAAAAACGAATATCCAAGTAACTATCCAGATAAGTGTTCATATTTGTTCGGTCGAACGGACGGTCGAATAAATATCCGTACCGTTTTCATCCATACTGAAAAGACGCTTCAAGTGCCCATGAGAGTGCAAGAATTCAGAAGACAAAACACACAATGATTAAAAAGAAATACAGAACACTTTGAATAGAATAGGGAAAAAAACAGTGCAAGAATTCAAAGACAAACCTACACAAAATGATAAAAGGAAGAAGTATATATATAGTCATAGAAGATGCTAAATATGTCATAAAAGGAAGATGTATATACACATATCCAGAACTGGCTTAGCCATATGTTGTAACAGAGGGAGTAGCAGAGATCTGCCTATATGCATATAAAGATGTAAATATGTCTAAATTGTGGATATGCAACAGAGCAAGTAGAGTAAGCCAATATTACTGGAGCAGATAGTTACATCTGTGTACCTGAATTTTTTGTGGTTCGTGTTTCAGAGTAATCCACAATTTTATGATGCCATAAAATCTTTGAAAACAGATGCATGGTCAAAACTTCTCTCGTTGGTACTTTCAACTGAAAAATGTGATGTCTATGGATCTTGAATCACATTGCAGGCTTGTAAACCGCCCCACAAGAACCACAAAACACATATAGCTAGTTGCAAAAAGACCAGCATCTTTCATCGCCCAAGAAAATACACCAAATCCCAAGCTAACACAGCCTTGATCAACATGGGGGAACAGCATACACTAGGCAGTAGCTAACATACAAACACTCTAGGATATTAAATGCATTGCAGCCAAAAAAAAAAAAAAAACAGAATTCCAGAACAAATATGCTGATGCAAACATGCATGCACAGTGGTGGAAGTTAAGTATACCAGATCTGCCTTTCCTCGCTATTAAGACAGATTTAGTTCAACAAATTAGCATATGTATCTTAAATCACCAACATAATGAATTCAAATCCATCAATCAGATAAGATAACAACAATCTGCACAAACCTGGTAACTAAAGTTCCCATCACAGCAAAATATTGTTACACTTCTTTTTGAGAGGCCAAAAACAAGCCAGCCAGCAGAAAGGCATAATATCATGAACTGGCTGCTAAGAAGCCTGAGAATAGTATAATATAATAATAGTATAAGAAAGGAATGGATGAACTATACAGTTTAAAGAGCATAGTAAACCCCAACATGAACAGGTAATCTCGTCCATAGCCTTCAGTCCCATTTGATCTTTTCTTTTTCCATAAGGCAGCACATGTAACACACACGAAGCTATCGAGTTCTAAAACTAGGAAATAACACTTGAATTACTCCGTATGGATTAGAGCTCCCTCTTGTCAACTCTTAACCGCCCACATCCAAAAACAAGTATAAAGACAATGTGTTCAACGGTACTAGCTAGTCAATCACAAAGCATATATCAGATGATCTATCTACCAATTGTCCAGTAGCATTTGTGCCAATGCAAGATCGGCCATGATGAGTTGAATTTTACAACCCAATACCCATATAGTTGCAAATCAGGAAGCATTAATCCTCTTCAACGAAACTAGACTACTCCCAAGCGAACACAGTGGCGTATATACAAACACTCTACTCTTGAATCTATATTAAATGATGAAGCGCAACCAGCAAAGAAGAACACACATGCTCAATTTATAAATACGTGATGCGAAGTGACTAACTTGCTTGACATTGCATATAGCAGAGTACCAGATCCAGAAACAAACATAAGTTGGTCTTCTCACTGGAATCTCAAATAGACATCAGTTAGTACTAACCATAGACACCAACGAAACATTCACTGGAATCTCAAATAGACATCAGATAAGATAGTACTAATAATAACCATAGACGCCAACGAAGCCCCACCAAAGGAGAGCAATTCACGTTGGATGAAAACGTGGGCGACGCCCTATTGCCCTACTCCTCGGGAGCGGATGGAGATCGCGGAACAGACGCCGACGGCAGTGCACGGGCCCTGAGACGACAGCGACGGAAGCAGCAGGAGGCGGTTGAGCAGCGGGCCCTGACCTTGAGGTGCCGGCGGCTTGGGGTCGGGACATGGCGTAGCGTTTGGCGGTACCCGACACCTCCTTGATGTACTTCTTGAAGACGTCGGCCCGCTCCTCGTCGGTAGCCAGGGACTTGCCGGCGGCGTACGCGGAGGCTGCGGCGAAGCCCTCGGCCTCCGCGGCGGCGGCGATGCGACTGGCCTCGGGCCACGCGCTGTAGCCTTGGAGCCCAGCCAGCTTCTCCAACTTCTCCGCGACCATGAGCTGGACATGGCAGCGATCCTTCGGCGGCACTGGTCAGCAAGCCAGCCGTTTGTTCACCCTCGCCCTGACCGCCGGCGGCATCGGGGTGTAGCGGAGGACCCTCCCTGGGCGAGGCCTGAGAGATTGGAAGCGTCGGATCTCCTCCACAACGGTGCGAACCCAGCGGTCCTCGGCGGCGCTGTGGTCGTCTTTCGGCATCGTCGCGGCTGGAGTGTAAACCCTAGATTCAAGATCGAGGAATACAACAAAAGGGGAAGAGCCCAAGAGGAGAATATAAGGGCTCTCCATCTATTGGTCTGTTGGACCTTCGTCAAGTCGAACGGGCCAAACATTCTAGATAGGAACCCACCCACCCACAGCACCCCGTCCGCTCAGACTCCCAGGCCCGGCCCAGTTATTTTTCTCGCCGAGGCCCGAGCACGGAGCACCATCACATCTCGTCAGCTCCCCCACCCACGTTCCAGAATCAGCTCCGCTCCATTCGACCCCGCGCGCTCCTGCCAGCGCCAATCCGCATCCGCCGGCGCCGCCCCAGCATCGGATGCTCGGAGATTTTCCTCATCGGCGGCGGCGGCGGCGGGTTATCCGCCCTCCAGCTCCTCCGCTGCTCCCCTTCGCCTTCACCCTCCTTCAGGGCGCTACCGCGCCTGTGGCCCATGCGGCCGAGCCGAGGACCGCCGCCAGCCAAGGAGGAGGTCACGGGGCAATTGATATGCAATTGTGAACATCACAGCTGATTTGGAGGACCTCCAGGTTAATTAGTACACACATGCTTCATTTAAACCAGAAAGCATCAAGTTTGTTCGCTTTTAATTTTGGTGGCGATGATTTGTGCAGGTACTGGTTTAATTCAGGTGCCAAAAGCTTCTTCTTTTTTAATTCAGTGTCCGAGGTTTCCATACACGCAAGGGATTAATCGTTGTTTCTTGGTTTCAAGTACATTTTAATAGCATGCCCTTTAACTATGATATTTAATTTGTCTTCCAGTTATGATTTTTCTATATTAATTTTCCTACCTTGATTTTGTTTTTGTAATTTTTTTCACCACTACTAATTTCCATGTGTCTGTACATCAGACGCCCTTTCTGTAAAGGATCCTCAGCTAGCAATGGGACTGCTCAACTAGAAGGTCCTTTCTTTCACTATATGCTTAATTAACTGCAAATGCTACATTCATGTCATCTGGAGTGGTTTTCATTCATGGTAACATATACATGCTAATATATACAACTTGTAATTGGGCTTAAAGATGTAATGCTCATATGTAATTCCAATAAAATCTTCTCAAAACCAGGATCATGTTAAGAATGGATATTAAAGTTACAATTATGGTCGTTGTAGAGGTAGTGAAACTCATTTTCGAGTTGATGATTCAGGAATGATTCTATTTTCATGGTCCTGGTGACTATATTAGCAAAATCACTGCTGGTAGCCTTCAAGACCATACTGTGAATCATTAGTTATGTTTTACAATTGCTGTAGAGGTAGTGAAGCTCATTTTTCGCATGGATGATTCAACAATGATTCTGTTTTCATGAATCATGGTAGTCTTTATTTGCAAAATCACGGCTGTTAGCTATCAAGACCACACTGTGAATCATTATTTATGTTTTACATGTGCAGATTATGTCTGTGCATGTGCAATTTGGATTGTGCAAAATGGATCACAATGTAGGATCACTCACCTTGGTTTAATATGTAGTATTTGTTAACAATTTGTATGCTTTCTAGAGATTTTCTTAACATTGTCAAGCAGTAAGGACTAGGATTTCTTGAGTCCCCAGCACAAGCTTTCTATAGATGTGGTTTTGGTTTTGCACATGATTTTCTAAAAAAGGCCAAGCCGCAGTTTTCTCTGTTCAGTGTATAGAAGCAGCTCATGCTCTCTTTTTTATTTCTCAGATTGTCAGTCCAGCAGCAGATCAACTACCTTGATCGACTCATTTTCATTCTCTTTGCAGGACTGTAGCATCAGCAGCTCGACACAGGGCAATCCACATGCAATCCATTGTCATGATCTATGATGCGCGTGCTGCAGGCCAGATGAGCCCCCTCCTCACCCGTAATTATGTATTGCATCACATTACTTGTGTCCAAATGCTCGCTAGATCCATGGAGATCCCAGATTAGTTGTATTTCTTACATAAATCATCTCAGACAAATGCCATATCGTCATCCTCGTACTGGTATCACCGTATCTCGTATTGGTGATACATAGGCTCAAGCTTTCTGTTATATAGAGACATAACAATCACCTGTCCATGTCTGTCCTAGTTTAGTCTCTCACTATTTTTCTTTAGTCTCTCACTCTTCTAGGTTCATTCTTTTATCCTATAGTCTCTCACTATTTTTCTTTATTATGTAGACTAAGGTTCAGGTTTAGATCTTGATTTTTGGAATTGCTCCATCATTTTGGTGTTTGTGTTTGATGCTAAGTTTCTGTTCCCTTTATTCTTGCAAGTATGGTTGCTATATGGTGCTATGTGTGATAACCTTTATCCATACTATGGGCTATAACTGATACTTGTTACTTTTTTCATGCTAAAATCACGAAGAACAATGAATTTGTTTGATGCTGCAAATACCTTCTCTCACAATGTAGCCTGCTCCATGCCTCTTTATCTAGATAATAATAGTTCATTAACTGTATGTTAACTTAATATTCTGATATATCTCCTGTAAGTCTTTATCTATATTCTGCTACGGAAAGTAAGCTCACTGTTGATACCTCGAGAGGGGAAAGACTACATATCAACGTTAGTCCCAATGCTATTTCCCATTGCAAACCTTCTAAATTACTTGTACTTTCTAGCAGCTCTTACCATATTTAGAAAGCAGGCTATCGAAAGTTATGTTCTTTGCCATCTTTCATCCACTTCAACTTAGTCTGTGGTCTGTTAGTTGTGTAAAATTTGGAATTTTTTGCTTAAAGATTTGACCTCAGGTTGTCTTCATGTTATGTTCTTGGCGCATTAGAACTTGGCAGGTAGTGAACAAGCTATTTGTAGTGTTTATACGGTCAAATATGAAAGAACAATTAGCAAGCGGCTAGTTGAGAATATTCAGAAATTACTAGTTTGGCGTGGCCCAGGTCCAGAATATGTCATTTTTTCTTTATGTGAAGAGCAGCTCTCTCTTGGATCGTTAATGTACATAATTATTTATTTCTCTTAGTTATTCCCTAGATGATGAGCGAGCACTTAAACTACTAATACAAGTTAGTGTTAAGTACAAGTTAGTGGATTTAGTACAAGTTAGTGGGCTTAGTTCATAGATGAGATGTCTCCTTGCGTTTCCTAGTTGGTTGCCACTGGTGCCAAGAAATATAAGTTTATAATAAATAAAGCTTAATTCTGCAGACATGCTGTTTGTAAAAATGTTTTTTAAGACACACCATAATGGTTGCCACTAGTACTTTTTAATGCTCTCAGAGCTGTTACATCTGTTGTGTTTTTTATTAAAAAAAACAATACAGTGTGTCCTGGAGATTTGCAGCTTGGAAATAGTGAAAATACCCCTTTGCATTTTCTACTAGGCTTGTCATGTTGCTAATGCAGAAGTAACTAGGATTTACCTTTTCTTTACAGATATGTGTTTATCATGTATTCTCCATTGACCTTGGCTAAAGTTGCCTAGCTGAGAAATACTTCCTACTATGCTACAGTTAATAATTATGGATTGATAAACTGTTGAGTTCTCTTGATATTGTATAATATCTTTTTAGATAATCTTGACAATTAATTACTATTACATTCCCCGGTAAAGGTAGATGTCAAAACTGAGTTGTCCTGCACTGCACCTCCTGAACAGAAAGTTGTTATTTACCTTTTCAGGTGACACATTTCTACACTTACAGGATATCATGGCAAATTTTTTCCTGCACATTGGTCAAGGTCGGTTGAATTCTCAGCTACCCAAAATGAATTTCTTAGGCAAGTTTATCATCTAAGATACAATAACAGTATCAACTGAGTCCATGTATGTGATTTCTCGCATTGTGAGAATTGCCATTCTTTGACAGATTGTTCTCCATTATTGGTTTGCATCAACTACCAATGATGTATGGCTATTTATCTTTTCCACAAATTTTTATTTTTATTTTGGTGTACCATAATGGCATTTTTGTTTGCAAAAGTTGATGACAGCTTGTACATCTTTCACCCATGTGTTTATGAAAATTGTTTTGAGAGTTTTTGTGTTGCACTAAGTATTGAATGTAATCTCGGCCTTGCAGGTTGAGAGGGCATCCGATTAATATTAAAAAGAAAGAGAAGGCACATGTACTGGACAAGCGATGGTATCCTGATAACTTCTGAGAGTTGACAGCAACATATTCTCAGTTTGTTTAGATTATTGGCATCTGCAATGGATGATGGCACAGTGAAATTGTGGGAGCAGAGAGCCATGCTAGTTGACCGCCTCTCTCCTGGTGTACATTTTAAAACTACATTAGTACAGTAGTTGTTTTTGTTTTACCACTTTCTCTGTGGTGGGAGTCTCACTGCTGTAGTACACCCTGAAAAGTTTTAAAGTAAAAAAAATATATCAAAATGTAGTGGCCAGACGGTGCTGTCGCAGGAGGTGTGACAACAGCAGACGAAATGGCAGAAGTAAATTTCCAGCCGGAAACAGTGTTTTTCTCTCACACCAAACTAGCCCGTGAATAAATAATCAACGATATGATACGTCCTCCCGAACAGGCTGTTTTGAGCTTTGTGCGCACTGTACAACCAGCAAGTGGGTGTACTATAGCAACAGTTGGTCTATGCTAACATGCTGTACTCCTACGGAAATGGCGAGTCGTTGAGCATGCCTGAAAATGGATGGCTTCAGTCTGTTTGACTCCAGGCTTTGGCTATGGCATTCCAGTTAGAGTGATTCACATCTGATCATGTTTTTAGTAAATAGTAATCATATTATGTTTTCTAATCAATTTATTATAAAAATATGTCTTACCGTGAATCTAATGGTATCTATTTGATATTATAATATTAAATATTTTTTATCTATATTTGGTTAAACTTATAAGATACTAAAACATGAGATGTAGTCTTTCCGGGATGGACATGTATTCTTTCCGGGATGGAGGAGTACTAGCTGAGTAGCTGAAGTCGAAGGAGTTAAAAACTGTTTTTTTTTCTGGCTCTAATTTCATTTGGAGATTTGAAGGAGAGAAAAAAAGTTTGGATGAACAACGC